AGACCCAACCCAGCACCACCAAAGCAGGTACCCAAAAAGACAAAGCCTAGAGCATTCCTAGGAAAATGCCAGAAAAGCCTTTGAAAATCTCATAAGCCAACAGAAAACGTGACAAAATCTACGAAAAAGCAAGGGCATTGGCCGGGACCATGCCGCGACCAGCCCGGGATTCGAGCCCAGGACCATTTTGGACCGTGCTTATTTTCCCGCGCGGGTCGAGAGGGTGCCCCAAGATGTAAATCAATTGGGATGGCAGATTCTTGGACAATCCAGGTCGCTTTCCCGGCAGGATTTCGTCACTGCAACAAGGGTCCGGAGGGGTAGGGGAGGTAAGGTCTAGGTCTAGGTCTAAGGCTAAGGACTAGGTCTAAGGTCTAAGGCTAAGGCTAAGGCTAAGGCTTAAGGCTAAGGCTAACATCGACAGTCACGCCTCACCCCACGGTGTGGGGTCGGCGGATTCTTTTCTAAAGCATTCTTCGATGACAATGAAAAGGCTGTTGAGATCCATGGGTTGTCCAGACCAGGTGATGACGATCCCTTAGTGGCGGCGGCCTTGCGAGAGGCATGCCGACCTTGGCCGGACGATCTCGTCGCACGCGCCGCGCAGGGTGGACCTGGGGATGAAGATCTGGGTGTGCATCAAAACGTCACCCTACAAATCATGGAAGATTCACATCCCTTGTCGAGGAATCTGATCGTTTTCAGGGGTCAACAGGGTTTTGACCCACAGCCGTTTGGGAATCTACAGAGTTGTGGATGACTCAAGAAGGGGCTTGACAATTCTTTCCGGGGTGGGTCATTCTGGCAGTCTGCCCAGTTTGAGCAGATTGGAGGCTTTTGGGAGGCTTCCTTGTGGGTGTTTGGAGTGTTTAAAGATGAGGGAACCCTGCAACCTTGGTGCATGATTTATCCTCTTGCATGGTGTTTGCAGCATTTGCAGGATTTATCCTCTCTGATTTTCAGGTCACCTAAAAAGGCCAGCTGAAGGTGTTCGGCCTCAGAGAAGACCGTTTTAATTATCTATGTATTACCTTTTTTGGGTGCAGCCGCAGCAAAAGCCACATTCTCATATAAATATTTGTGAATTCACAGGTTCGAATGAGAACTTACGATTTCTCAACAATCACTTCAAGCCATCTTGACCTGAAGAAATCAGGCAACTGAGTCCACCCAGCGAGACTCGAATTGAATACGTAGCTGTGGCGCATGGCGGAGTTGCAGGGCGTGCAGCCCTCGCAGCGAGGCAGCAGTTTGGCCAGGTTTTTCATTTATTTTTGTTTTTTTTAAAATCCTGGTTTTGTGGAACAAACACACACATGAAATACAGTATATAACTGTAACATCCCTCAAGTTTGGCCGTATCCTTCAAAAACAAGACCCTAACAAGAATGGAGTATTGTTGGCCCACCTCGGGGCCTTCTCCAAACAACATCGCTTCATTTCTTTCCTCGGGCGTTCGGACACCTCCGGTCACCCCCCTCGCGCGCCGAGGACCGAGGACGCTCCTCGCGAGAGAGCGGGTCCCAGCTTCGCTGAGGAGGACGCCGGAGCGAAGGCCACCAAGTCGGCGCGGGACCTGTCGGAGAAGCGGAAGGCCGGCGACGGCGCGGCGGCGGTCCGGGTGGTGGGTAGGTGGTCGGGGGTTCAACTGGGGAAGAGATGTTCAGCCAGAATTCATTGGCCTCCGAGGTTCTGCATGAGGCTTACTCTAGACATCTTCAATTCCAGCAAGCAGGAGACCACAGGTTTCGGTTCTTTTTGACCCCCATCTAAGTTCATGGAGAGGTACATCCTGGAGTGCAAGGGTGGCACTAAGAGATGTGCTTGCATTTGGATTGGCATGTGGAGGTATAGAAGCTCTCACCTAGGAGGTTCATCTACACACGACCCACGGCCGAATTTCAGGTTTTTCTGCTATTTTTCCATGATTTGGAGGATGAGGACAGTAGGCCCAGCAGGCTGATGGAGGTGGATTAGTAGGCCACCTCCCTCCCCCGAAAGCGGGCTCCCGGCCGCAAAGTCGAAGCAACTGTCCCAGAAGTCGTTCACATGGCCCGCATGGCCATGCAGATGTATTGCAATGGGCTGGGTGTTTTTTTTATGCTAATGGTTTTTTTTCTTATGCTCACAGCGGGGTTGGTGTGCTTTTGGGGTATGGGTTTCTTTTTTTATGCTTATAGTGCTTTTTATTATGCTAATGGTTTTTTCTGTTATGCTTGCAGTTCTTTCTCTTATGCTCCTGGTTTCTTTTTTTATGCTAATGGTTTCTTTTTTTATGCTAAGGGTTCTTTTTTTATGCGGCACTGTGGGAAGAGGTCACGTTGGGGGGTCCTAGTGCAGAATGTAATTGTCAGGAGGGTTTAGTGCAGAATGTAATTGTCGGGAGGCTTTAGTACAGAATGTAATTGTCGGGAGGTTTTAGTACAGAAAGTAATTTTCGAGAGGTTTTAGTACAGCAAGTAATTGTCGGGAGGTTTGAGTACAGAAAGTAATTGTCGGGAGGTTTTAGTACAGAAAGTAATTGTCGGGAGGTTTTAGTACAAAACGTAATTGTCGGGGGGCTTTAGTACCGAATGTAATCGTCGGGGAGTTTTAGTACAGAATTAAATGTCGGGGGCCTTTAGTATCGAATGTAAGCGTCGGGGTGTTACCGAATGGACAATTATTCATGAACGAACCGTTCAGTGAAAGGTGATGCATTCGTCAGCAGAAACCGAAAAGTGATGAGTTCCAGTATCAACTGATATCAATTGTTTAAATGAACGGTAGAAATGTGGCCAAATGGGCTCCAGTCAGAAATCAGGGTCGCTTCGTGCGGTGTCTGTGTCGGTCCGTCCGGCATGGGTGGGCAGTGATCAAGCTCCTCTCTCGTTGGATCTCCTCGCTGGAGTTTTTTGGTTTCCGCCAGCAAAGAAGTTTTCATCGGGGAAGAGTTTGCATGTCACCATCCAAGAAAAGACGCGACTTCCACAGAGCCTCTGCTCATGCCACGCGTCAGAATGCTTCCGATCGAAAACAGGGCCGTTCTTCTGCCAGCCGTTGTTCTTCCCGACGCAGAAGGGCTTTGTGGCTGGCATGGAGGGCAGATGGCCATTCCACCATTCCATCAGACAAGGTTTGGTTGTTCTACCGTCTCGCCCTTGCCGCCAAAACTGGAACTGGAGTGTTGGGTGAATTTCTTTGCAATTCCTTGCCTGTGCAGCCGCCGGTCAGAACTCGGCAACGAGATGTTTTTCCCTTGGCCCCGCTTGGTGGTAGCATGCTGAAGCCTGTAGACATGACAAGTGGCAGGTGGAGCGTGCTCCTCCAATTCATCAACGTGGTCATTGGCATCCTGAACTGGTTGCACGGCATAAAGCAGACAGTGCCGACTGGCAAGCACACGTTCGCTCAACAAGCAGTTTTGAAAAACATCGTGGATCGCACAGTGTGGACACTCACACGCCTGCAACATGCGCAAGATGGCTGGGAGCGGTTTGTGCCAGATTTTGTGCCAGGTTTCACTGCAGGTACAACTTCTTTCCAAGACTTGGTTGCTGACAGGGTGGACAACTTGCAAGCGGCTGGCTTATGCGATCCTTTGCCCCACTTGCCAGCCCATGTGCGGGCCAGCTTGGCAACACCTGAAGGAATCCTTGACAACAGCGATGATTCTTTGCGTGTTTTTGAATCTTTCTCCTTAAGGGCCCGAAAGACGAATATGCAAAATTGGTTGTCAAGCAGCTGCGGTGTGGTAAGTTGAGTTTAGCAACTTTTTGCAAGGGTGGTGGTACCACTTTCGCTGTTGGGAAGCCTGGGGGTGAACGCCTGAGGGAGGTATGGCACGGCCGACGTGTTTCAGAATCAGCTTCTGCACCTCCAAAGCCGAGACACTCGGCTTCCCCAACTGCGTTGACCTTTCTGGAGTGCAGCGATGGAAGACCACTACGCCTTAGCAAGCGCGATGCTACGTGTTGGTTTGACCAGTTGAAGCTTCCCAGCTCTCTTCGTCGATACATGGCCAAACCGCCCATCTCCACAGTGGAACTTGTCAATGCTGGAATGTCAGTGGCGGATCAGCGGCAGCGCATGGAAGATGGACATGCTTGGCGCGAAGGTTTGCTATATCCTTTGCACTGCGTCTGGCCTATGGGATTTTCTTGGTCTTCTTACATAGCCCAAGAAGAGATGCTGAGTGTTTGTCAAGATGCTGGCGTACCAACTTCATCTCTCTTGGCTTGTGATTGCGTGACACCTACATCGTTTGAGCTTGTTGCTGCGGTGGCCACCGATGATGTCATGATTTTCAGCGACGCTGGCCCTGGTGCCACCTGTGAAGCAGCAAGAGCTTTCGATGCAGCTATGGATGCACGATGCGCAGTCCGAAATCTTAAGAAGGACGTTGACGACGCGCTCTGTGGTACCTGTGTTGGGGTTGACTTAGTAGACGGATACTTTCTGGATGTGCCGGGGGACGCTACTTGGCCATGATTCTGACAAATTGAAGCTTGAGCACTTTTCCGACATCTTCAGTGTTCGCTCCAAATTTCATGCACACATCAACGTCCTGGAAGGTGAGGCATTCGCGCTTTTCTTGAAGTGGCTTCTGCGGTCCACCAAGCACCACTCGACAAGAGTTGTTGTTCTGCTTGACTCTGCAGTTTTCTGGGCGCGGCCGCGAAAGGGAGGTCATCTTCACAGTTGAACAGGCTGTTGCGGAAGGTCGCTTCTCTGGCGATGGCTGGAAATCTTCAGCTGCATTTTATCTTTGCCCCCTCCAGCGAAAATCCAGCGGATTTCCCTTCGCGTGGCAAGAAGAGGCGAGCGCAAAAGTGAAGCAGCTCTAGGCTGCACGGAGTTTTTCGGAAGCCCTGCCTTTCTGGCATGATGTGCAAACTTCCGAACTTGCGCCCTAGAATTCAATTTTGTCAATTTTGATGGGTGTTCGTGTTGCTGGCGCTCGGCGTCCTACATCCGGGCACGCTGCGGTAGATTCTGCGCGTTCTGGCGCAGAACTGGCTCCGACGGGCAGCTGGAAGATGCTTGGTGCTGATGTTGGGCGCTCGGGCTACTGTGAGTTTGCTCCGCTCACAAAGGCCTCAACGGCGCACTGGTTGATGTGATAATCTGCTCTCTGAGACCCACACACACAACCGGTGGAATTCTTTTTGGTTTGTCGGCAGTGATTTTCTCTCACAGCCAGTGCCGGTGGTCGGGATTGATGATCATTAATGCTGGACCTGAACAAAGCTGGCAAAGTCAGCTGTGGACAGTGGTTGTAGCATCAAGTTCTAACCTCTCGGCAATCGCACCCGGTTCACAAAAGATTCGCATCCTGTCCTTGCTGTACGGTGCTGCTTGGCCTGAAACTCCTGGGAGGCTGGAAGGAGAGGTGCAGTCTCATGAATGGACAATTATTCATGAACGAACCGTTCAGTGAAAGGTGATGCATCCGTCAGCAGAAACCGAAAAGTGATGAGTTCCAGTATCAACTGATATCAATTGTTTAAATGAACGGTAGAAATGTGGCCAAATGGGCTCCAGTCAGAAATCAGGGTCGCTTCGTGCGGCCCACCCGGCCCGGCCCCTTTTTCATGCGGGATTGATGATCATTAATGCTGGACCTGAACAAAGCTGGCAAAGTCAGCTGTGGACAGTGGTTGTAGCATGATCAAGTTCTAACCTCTCGGCAATCGCGCCCGGTTCACAAAAGATTCGCATCCTGTCCTTGCTGTACGGCGCTGCTTGGCCTGAAACTCCTGGGAGGCTGGAAGGAAAGGTGCAGTCTCATGAATGTAATCGTCGGGGAGTTCTAGTAATCGTTTGGCTCCAGACTTTTTCTGCCCAATATTGCACTGCGTGGCATAAAAAGAAGGTATGCTCGTCGTTGCTCGCGCACTTACATCGTGAGAGGGTCTTCCAAGTTGACTGACCCTTTGGTGAGCCACCCGAGGGTAAAATTTAGAGAAGGATGTTGCCATTTCAACTTGACTCACCCTTTTGTGGGCCATGCAGGGGTAAAATTTAGAGAAGGATGTTGCCATTTCAACTTGACTCACCCTTTAGTGGGCAGGGGTAAAATTTAGAGAAGGATGTTGCTCTTCCAAGTTGACTCACCCTTTGGTGAGCCACCCGAGGGTAAAATTTTGAGAAGGATGTTGCCATTTCAACTTGACTCACCCTTTTGTGGGCAAGGCAGGGGTAAAATTTAGAGAAGGATGTTGCTCTTCCAAGTTGACTCACCCTTTTTAGAGAAGGATGTTGCCATTTCAACTTGACTCACCCTTTTGTGGGCAAGGCAGGGGTAAAATTTAGAGAAGGAAGTGGTCATTACAAGTTGACTCACCCTTTGGTGAGCCACCCGAGGGTAAAATTTAGAGAAGGATGTTGCCATTTCAACTTGACTCACCCTTTTGTGGGCAAGGCAGGGGTAAAATTTAGAGAAGGAAGTGGTCATTCCAAGTTGACTCACCCTTTGGTGAGCCACCCGAGGGCAAAATTTAGAGAAGGATGTTGCCATTTCAACTTGACTCACCCTTTTGTGGGCAGGGTAGAATTTTGAGAACCCTTTGGTGACCCTCGGGTGGGTAAAATTTAGAGAAGGATGTTGCCATTTCAACTTGACTCACCCTTTTGTGGGCAGGGTAAAGTTTAGAGAAGGAAGTGGTCACTCCGACTTGACTCACCCTTTTGTGGGCCATGCAGAGGTAAAGTTTAGAGAGGAAAGTGGCCATGCCAAGTTGACTCACCCTTTTGTGGGCCATGCAGGGGGAAAATTTAGAGAAGGATGTTGCCATTTCAACTTGACTCACCCTTTTGTGAGCCATGCAGGGGTAAAATTTAGAGAAGGATGTTGCTCTTCCAAGTTGACTCACCCTTTGGTGAGCCACCCGAGGGTAAAATTTAGAGAAAGATGTTGCCATTTCAACTTGACTCACCCTTTTGTGGGCAAGGCAGGGGTAAAATTTAGAGAAGGAAGTGGTCATTCCAAGTTGACTCACCCTTTGGTGAGCCACTGGAGGGGTAAAATTTAGAGGAGGAAGTGCCATTCCATCTTGACGACCCTTGTAAGTGAGCAAACATGCGGGAAAGGGCCTGAGTCTCCCCGATGGACTGTGTGCGCGCATGAGTCAAATGCTAACAAAATGTGTGTGCGCAGATGAGCCGCCGCCCTTCCAATAAAGCCCCGCGACAATTACATTCTTCACTAAGCCCCGCGACAATTACATTCTCCACTAAAGCCCCGCGACAATTACATTTTCCAATAAAGCCCCGCGACAATTACATTCGTTAGCATAAAAATAAAAACCCTCAGCATAAAAATAAAAACCCTCAGCATAAAAATAAAAACCCTCAGCATAAAAATAGAAACCCTCAGCATAAAAATAAAGACCGTTAGCATTAAAAAAACCCACCCAAATCCAGCATAAAAAAAGAACCGTTAGCATAAAGAAAAAACTATTCCCTATTGCAATGGATGGCCATGAGTCACTCATGTTGATGACTACTTGCTTGTGGCAAACTGTAGTGGATGCTGGGATGCTTGAGTCATGTTCTTAAGTTGCCGGAGTATTTGGAGCACGCTTTTTCTACAACCACGCACGGTTCAAACCTTTTAGGAGGTTGGCACCGGACCACCCACTCTGCTTGACTGGTTGCAACCGGACAGGCCTTTGGGCGGAGGAGCTACGGGAGAGGGAAGGGCTCCTTTCGTCTTCATTTATGGCCGACAGAGGTCGGTTGACTTCCTTGGCCGACAGAGGTTGAGAAGCGATCGATGCTGTCATATGAGCTTTGAGAGTCCTTCTGTAGTGATGTAGTCAGCAGAAATTGAAGAATCATGAGAGTTGGGGTCGGTGCCCAGAATGTCGGAAAAACGATGCTCTCCCTCGAATCATCGTGGACATGGCCGTTGGATGACCCAGGAATCCCCTACAAACAGATACAAACAGGTGGTTTTCACTCCACGAAACCATGAGAATTTCAGGGGGAGTGTAAGACAGTGTAAGAGGTGTAGATCTTGCTGCTAGACGTTTTCAGAAGGGTCACCTCTGCTGAGAAGAGCCGTTCCCGCAAGGCTGTTCCCGCTTGCAGGAGCGGTTCCCGGCTCTCGGACCAGTCGGCGCTCCGCCTGAAGGCGGGCGAGGGGCCCGGCGTTGCCGTGTCCTTTTTGAGAAGATGCCCGTGGGACTTCAACCAGGGAAATTGGTCAAGATGCCTTCCAAATTCTGATGGCGAAGCTTCCTAGTTCATTTAGTGGTAGTGACCAAGTATATTTATGTAATAAGATGATAAATGCACTAGATTTAAGGGAAGCAGATTCAGCCAAGTTCTTGTGGGTGTGCCAACATTTGGACACACCAACACGAGATCCTGAGCTCAGATGCTTCAAGTGATGATATGGTACGATGCCCAGCACGTGTTGCTCAGTCTTCCCCAATCCACAAGAACTCTTTATCATTTCCTCACATCGTGTCACTGCTGGTCCATGGCAGTTGTCTGAGCTTTCTGATTCCCGCAAGGCGTTGGAAACGCAGAAAAGCTTCCGAAGGCCGGGTGTTTGGATCGCTAATGAAACTAAGGCAATCCATTTCAGCGATTTCTGCCGAGATCGAACCGAACCGTTCGGCATCGATTCCGAGTTCTTTTCGTTGTTCCAACGTCCTGATCTTCACGTGAGTTGGCACTGGCGCTCAACTGAGGCCTCACTTCTGGGTCTTGGCCTTCGGTTGGTTCTTGGCCTTCTGCTCTGGCATGGCTCGGGGCCCGGAGGTCACCGGGGAGCGGAGGTCACCTGCGCGTGGAAGATCCAATGGCCGATGTACTGAACCCGGAAGCCTATTTATATAAGCATGTAGCAGCCTAGAAAGGAGGTTCTCCCTAGGAAAAAAC